GTCATCTTTTAAGATTTTAATTAGTTCAACTGGAATGCCATCACCTCCACTGGCCTTGTTGTTAGATATGCTTTCTAAGGCCCACTTGACTTCACTCTCCAAGATGTCTGGCTCAAGGTCAGCAACCACACTATCTGGGTTGTCCGGGACATGCAAATCTTTCTGGTATAATTCTTCTGTATATTCTTGCCACCTCTTCTTGATGTCTTCTGCTTCAGTGAGGTCCCTACCATTTTTGTCATTTTTCATGTCCATCTTTGCACAAAATGTTATGATAATAGTTTGAATTGAATTGGCCCATTCCTGTCCATTTTAGTTCAGTGACGCACAGGATGTCAATGTTTATTCTTGCCATCTCCTGTTTGACGACATCCAGCTTACCAAAGTTCGTAGATCTTACATTCCAGGTTCGTATGCAGTATTTTTCTTTGCAGCATCGGACTTTCCTTTCACTTCCAGGCATGTCCGCAGCTGAGCGTCCTTTCGGCTTTGCCCCAACCACTTCATTAGCTCTGGAGCTACTTGTACTTGTCCTCTGCTCTTCCTCAGTAGCATATTGGACGCCTTCTGACCTGGGGGGCTCATCTTCCAGCATCATATCTTTTAGTCTTTTGGTTCTGTCCATGGAGCTTTCTTGGCAATGATACTGGAGTGGCTTGCCAGTTCCTGCTCCAGGTGGATTGCGTTTAGTCAGAACTCTCCACAATGACCTGTCCATCTTGGGCGTCCGTGCACGGCATAGCCCATAGCTTCTCTGAATTACTGAAGCCCCTTCGCCACGACAAGGCAGCAATCCATGAAGGGGAATAAGGGTGTAGCAGAGTTATTTTCCAAAATAAAGTGATGAAAGTGGAGTTATTTTTGTGTGTGCACAACAACATTTGTTACTTTCAAAGTTACCTTTAGGCATTTTCAGAGTCATTCTGAGTGGTATTGTACATTTTATGCTCTTCACATATCAGTTTTTAGCCACCTTCTGTAGAAGCCTAATGGGTAATGTGTCAAGTTACCTCCCCAAAATGTGGACAGCAACACATTGTTTTGAAGGGTTTGGTAAAAAGTTCCATAACACTAGATTTGAAAGTAATTTTCCAAATTTTGGGTTAAAAATCTTCATGCAATTCGAAGATTATTTTAATCTTTTGTAGTAATATTTTATTGCAGAATGCATACAGACATAGACTTATAATGTAGGCAGTTGGAGATATCGATCAGATCTACGTGCCAGACACATGCTATATCAAAGTGGATTAAGAAGCTTCCTAATTGATACCACATAGCATGCACCTTTCACTTTGCTCCAGAGATAGTATATATTAATAGCCCAGTGTTGCTTCAGAGGAATTTAAATGCCAAAACAGCAACCATTTCATGGAGGGGGTGGGATGATGTTGGCTGCAGATTGAGGAAGGATTAAGTGGCATGTGTAGATCTGGCCACTGGCACATTCTGAGTTGGAAAATATGTTTCCAGGTTTCAACCGTATACCACATACAGTACAGTTTTTTGTTCTTTACAGATAAAAACAGGCTGGGACAAAGATTGTTCCAAATCTATTGGTTACTGGAATACTTTTTTGTCTGAGTCTTGTGCCAGTTTGTCAGATGTAGGAAGCAGAAGTGAAATACTTTGATAGTCCATGTGTAGACCCTATTCCAGGGAGCCATTACAATTCACTGTGGTTTCAGGAAACACAAGATGTGTACATTAAACATTTCAACTAATCTAACCTTCAGCCCACAGTGCTAAATGTGTACAGCTAACAATAAATGGCTCAAATCCTGTTGCTTAGCATAGTAAGTGCTACCCTACATTAGGGTATAGTAGTTGAGTCAGTGTGCATTTGATGAGTCAACTCCCTTGTATGTTCCATTGATTCAAATGGACCTACTCTAGCTGCAACTACTTTCGTGCAGTGAGTCTCAACTACAGTAAACCCATTTGGGTCAATGGAATTTATGGAGGAATTGACTCATCAAATTCCCACTGATTCAATGGACCCACTCTAGTACAACTTACTAAACTAAGCTACAGGGTTTCAGCCAATATGTTGGAATTCTCATGGGGCCAGAGTATCCTGCACAACCATCAATGCAATGTATGAAGCCGCCTAGAGTGGTCAAAATGACTAGACAGGCGGAGCATAAATACAATAAATAAATAAATAAAAATAAAAAAATATGAAGGTTACATCCCATTCTAAGACTGCCTCCTAGGCTAAATGTTGGCATATATCAGACTGAAGGCTTATTTAGTCCAATATTTTTTTTCACACAGTGACCAATCTGGACAATTTACTCTTGGGTAATCCTATATATACTGTATTTGCATATTAGGCATATCGTGTGTCTTAAGTCCTGTGAAACACAGTGGGCATTCAAGTAAGTACTTTGCATCCAGAACTATAGCAAATATCCTCAGAGAGAGTTGTAGATCAAAACATCTGGAGGGGCCCAGATAGGGGAAGGCTGGAAATATTGTCAGTTTATTCACTTGAAGCTTTAAGAAGAGATTAATATGCACATTCACTCACTTTCTCACACACATTAATAGCAGAGTTGGGAATCAAAGGCATACCTTTATGTAAGCAGGACAGATGCTCCAGCTTCTCATTTTGCCAAATGTTATAAAAACAGTAAAGATAGATTTTCCTTCTAATTCATTTCCAAAGTTCCCAGACATGTTGAATTTCAGGATGAAACCACCGTGGCTTTCCTCCCAGTGGGAAGAATCACTGGCATGCAATGCTTAACAGTACTGTGTAGAAATTAGCATTGGTTTGCCCCTAGTATCACTGAGATTCAAATCTGTTGGTTTCCAAAGCCATTTTCATTCCAGTGGATTAGTGTAACAGTAATATTTTATATACCTGTTGATTAAAAATAAAATATTTAATTAGTTTTTTAAAAACTCTTCCTCTGAGAACCTTAGAACAACATAAATGGATTTTCCTACTTGATCCTCACAACATTCTTTAGGGAATTCTTACAACCATTGTTGTCATGTGTGGTCAAGTCAGAAACAACTTTAAGGCGATTCTAATAGGGTTTTCAAAGTAAGTGAGATATTTAAGGAATTGTTTTACCAGTTCCACTCCCCCAGTAAATTTTCTATGGCTGAGCAGGGATTTGAACCTGGTTTTCCAAAGTCTTCGTCTGTTGTTCTGTCTACTACACCACACAGGGTATCAA